AGTGCAGGTCAGGTGTTAGCTTATCTAGAGAGGGGTCATGAAGGTTACAACAATCAAGGCTGACTTCGCGGGCATGTGTGTTCTGTACCTTGTTCCTGACAACAGCATGAAAGAGTGAACCTGAAATTAAAATCTTCTAGCAAAAATACAAGCTACTTGGGGGATGTTCTTCATCTCTGTTGAAGACTGTTGTCCCCCAGCTTGATTAAAGGGCTCACGTGACCTTCCCCATGCTCCCCGATGTCTTGGTAGGAATTTGTTTCTTTGTAGCCCGGAGCTTCGAATTTGTGCAACAGAGAGGCTGGAAACACTTTCAGTTTTCTGGGTTAGAAGGAAAATTGCAGGTGGATATGTTCTGTCTCCACACGAGGGGCAGGGCTGAGCATATCTCCCCCTGCCCGGCCCGCCCAGCAAGACCTGTCCCTTCTCTTTGGTGTCTATGGAAGCTGGGAGACTGCCCAAGATCTGAGCATAAAGCAGATATTATTGTATCTGGAGAAAATTTCCAAAAATAGAGGGCCCTTAGGTTGCTGAATTTTTAGGCATTTAATCCTGCAGCATCCTCCTGACCTCTTAGCACAACCCCACCAGTGAGCCCCGTTTAGGCTGGTTGTCTGCACCTGGGGCTGGGCCCGGTGCACGGGGACGGACCCATGACCCGGGACTTCGGAGGTGGGCTCCGTTAGGGTCAGGCCTGGAGCTGCGGCTGTGATCTCTAAAGGGGCAACACGCAATCCAGGTGTAAAGGGCCAGGCTGACAAGGAGGGGCCTCAAGAAAAGGCACCCAGTGCCTCTGGCAGGGCCCACCTCTCGTTGGAGCGGTTGGTTGGCAGGATCCCACCCTTTCCAGACCCCTTTGCAAGACAAGTGCCCCCGGGTCAGGAAGGAGGTCAGCAGATCAAAGGGCAGCGCTAACAACATGATACCTTTAGTCCTGGGGCTCTGCTGGTGGGGGGAGGGGATACCTGTGCAGATCCGCCCCTCCTCCTCCCTATCCCCACCCCCAAGTTTGCCTTCCGGTGACCCCAGCACCCCCTACTCTCCGCCAACTCCCTACACCCCCCTGCCCCCACGCCTGCCCCTGTTTGACTCCAGGCCTGGTGGGCAGGTCCCCAGAGGAGGCTCTGGGCACCACGGAGCGTCTCCCCAGACTGGTGGGGAAGGGGGGAGCGCACAGGGACCACCGAGAAAGTCTTGTTGCACCCATTGCCCAGGGCCCTTCCAGGTGGTCTTCAGGTTAATTATTCTACTGTACCTGCCCCACTTCACGTGGAAGAAAGCAATATATACATGATAAGGAATGATGCCTGCCTCCCAGCCTTTGAATGTGTGACTATATAGATTTTATTCCCAACCTCATAGGTATATAATTCCAGACATGAATAGACATGGATTACAAACAGCTTTTTCTTTTGCAGTTGTTGGTATAAACCACCAATTCTCCTTTCTACATAGTGGGAGAAGGGCGACTGTGGGCAATATTCAGTATCTTGAAGGGAGACCGTGTGGAGAGAGGAAAGGGGTGGTGTGCCGGGCAGGGAAGGGGCCAAGATGGGGGACAGCTGATGAAGCGTGCTTGCTCAGGAAATCAAGGGTCCCCCAATTGTCCCAGGGCTGTGGGAGAGGGGAGTCACCTGGAGACTGGGTCCGGGAGTATTGCTGGGACCAGACTTTGATCTCTCCTTACGGCCCTCCAACAGACGCAAGCCCCACTCCTGTCTGCCCAAAACCTTCTTCAAAGCCAGCTGGGCTGGACCAATACAGATGCTGGAGACAGGAAGAGCCCCAGCGCGCTCAGCTTCACACCTCATAAACCACACAAAGCCCCCAAACTTCCAAGACTTCGCCTTCTTTCTCTGTCCCTCTCTCTTTCCATACAACTTCACAGAAAACCTCCAATCTGTATTAACTTTTTCTTAACATCAACAGAATATATGATAATTTTAAAGCCCTTTGGCCCCACAGAGTGCATTTGGTCTAACCCCGACTTTACTAAACAAAGAAACAGAAATCCATGAAAATAAAAGAGCACAGACATCCAGAGTCTCACTGCAGTTACAGGGGTGGCCGCGACCAGGACCCACCGCGGGCTTAGTGCTTCTTCAATGCCTCACTGGGCGCCCCCATGGGTGGTGTGGCCTCGGGGATAAAACCAGGTGAACCTTTGCCTGCCGGACCCCCACATACCTGTTCAGTCTGTGCTTCCAGGAAGTGCTCTCAGCTGGTCTCAGGGGGACAACTCGCACGTCCCACCACGGATTTTGAGGGGTTTAGGAACAATGGGTACTGTGGAATAAAGAGGGGGTGAAATGAATTCCTCTGGGAGTTCTAAAACACAGCATGATTTTGTTGAGGAACATGGGAGATTTATTGCATATAGACTGCACACCCGTCCCCAACTAAAATAGCCCTGGCGGTGGGTATTTCAGGGAGAAGAGAGGGCAGCAGGCTCTCCAAGATCAATTTTGGGGAGTTTCATTCACTACCTTCCCCCAGCCTCCTAAATCACTGCCCTGCATCCCAGGAGTCCTGCCCCAGCAGATGGAGGAGGAGGGAGGTAGGGAAAGGCAGTCAGCATTAGAGCAAACCGCTGTCAGAGGTGGGGGCCAAGACTCTCCCGGGGAGGCAGAGTGACAGCCAAGATGTCATTACTGTCCCTCACAGGGCGAAGGGTTTCCTGCCCAGAACAGGTGGCTAAGAATCTCAGGTCTCCTTCATAAACCCTCCTTCCCCAAAGGGAACAGACAGGCATAGAGAAACAGGGCTAGGGACCACTGGAGCATTGAGGGCAGCCGGTGACAGCTGTGTGGCCCCTGCGTCACACTTGGTCCCACTCCAAACTACGAGGCTTAACGGTTTGCTGGGCACAAGAGTCTCAACCTCTTTGAACCTCTACTCTCTGAAATGGAGAGGATAAAATCCTTCTTCTTGTGTCACAGTGACAATTAAAGATGAGAATTCTAGAAAGCTCATGGCATATAGCAGTGTTCAGGAAGTGTAAGTGCTCTCCTCTCTCTGCTTAAAGGCAGGACTGCATCATCACCACCCCAAAGAGATAGCATCTAAAGACCAGACAAACACCATGTAAATGCTGTAATTTCTATTTACAAGTTAACATTGGTTTGTGCAAAGCCATATCATATTTACTCCCAGCGCTGTCCCTTATCCATTGCTGTCCTCCTGATTTCCAACTAGTACTGTGTGTCTCGGAACTACCCTGTTTTAATGAAAAAGAAAGTCGACTCTTGCCAACAGAATCACCACAATCAACTCTTGCCAAGGCAAAAAGCCTTTTGAAGGGAAACTAAGCGATCCCTATACTTACCTTAAAAAAAAAAAAAAATCCCTCTTGTAGCAACCTGATCTGCTAATTTTAAAGTTTACCTGCCCTCATTTTTCCTTCCTCCTCTGTCCCTCCTCCAGCCCCCACCCTGTCCTTTACTCACCTCTTAACTGCTTAGGAAGCTGGCTGCAAGAACCGAAACCCCCTCCTGCATTCTTTCCCCTGTTGGGGCCAGATAACTAGGTCTAATGGAGCTGTTGACAAAGCCTCGTGCTGGTGGCCGCTTGACTCCCCGACCTGCATGTTGATTCTTTCCGCTTCAGAAAAGCCCTTGGAAGTGCTTTTACTGTAAATATTTGAAGTGTGTGTATGGGGGACGGAGGGGGTGGGTGTGAAGTCTGGATTCTCACTCCACTACCTTGCTCAGCCAGGGGAAGCCCTTTCGCCCGAGTTCCCAAGCTGCAGGTAGGAAGAGGAGAGAGGCTGCGTTTTCCTGCCTGGGGACTAACCGGGGTCAGAGTGGCTGGCCTCGGGAGGACTACCGGCTCCCGCAGGCTTTCGAGAACCGAGGTGGGTGCTGTCTCCTCACGCCCATGGGTATCCTTCCGCAGAGAGGAAGAGCTCTGTCATCGAGGATCCTCTCACTGGCAGGTGGGCAACGTCTCCAAGCCGACCTGGGTCCTGCAGGCCGCGGGGCTCACAGACTCTGCCCTCTCCGCCTAGAAGGGGCAGAGGCTCAAGGCGATGACTTGTGGAAGGCAAACCCTCGCTCACACACACACACACAACACCTGAAACGCACAGGACTTCCCAGAGATGAGAAGGTTCGACCTGCAGAGGGTTGACGACAGGGACACAAACTGCTCCCGTGCACCCTGGAGACCCAAGAACAGGGCTTGGGGACTGGTTTGATCTTCGTTGTGCTACCGTCCTTGAGCAAAGCAGCTAGATCTGCAAGCAACGTGGGCTCGCCGACGCAGAAGTGCACAAACTCAAGTGCTGGCGAGGAGGCGCGAGGAGACGCACGCCGCTGGCTCGAGGGGACGCCGAGCCCAGAGCCGGACAGCGTGTCTCCGGAGCTGGCCTCAGGCCGCGGGGCCCACACCGCGCCCCAGGGGCGCCAGCGCCCGCAGTCCCGCTCAGCACTTGCAGGAGGGCAGGCAGGGTCCCTAGGTTCAGCCGCCGCGTCTGGCAACCCCGGTCGCCGTCTCCGCTCCGCCATCGCGGCGCAGCACCCCGGGTGCTTAGGACCCCGCGGCGCAGGGGCGGGGCGGCGGGCGGCCTCGACGGTGACAGGTGCGCCCCTCCGCCAATGGCCGGGCCGACGCCCCTCCCCGAGCCCCCGCCGGGCGCGCCAATCGGCGGCCGCGCTGCGCTTCAAGTGCGCGGAGGGGCGCGGGTCCCCACTACGGCGCCAGCGGCCTCGGCGCGGTCGCCCGCGGGTCCAGCGCAGAGAGCCGGGCTCCCCGGCCCGGCGCGTCCAGGCCCTCGCGTGCGAGTCCGTGCGAGCGCGGCCCGGGGCGGGGTCCGCACGAGGAGGCGCCCGGACCATGGTCACCCTCGGCTGAGTTTCCGGCGGCGACTTTGATTATTGGCAAATCACCACCACCACAATACCGAACCCTGGGGCTTGCCACCGCCACGCACGGACTCCGCGAGCCGGCGCGAGGCCGCGTCACCCACCGCCCGGCCCTGCTCGCCAGCCGCGAACGAGCCGATGGAAAAATCCAAAAATTTCCGCATCGATGCGCTGCTGGCCGTGGACCCCCCGCGAGCGGCCTCGGCGCAGACCGCGCCGCTGGCCCTGGTCACGTCGCTCGCGGCCGCAGCGTCCGGCCCCGGCGGCGGCGGGGCGGGCGGCGGGGCGAGCGGCAACTGCAGCCCCGCGTCCTCGGAGCCGCCCGCAGCGCCCGCCGACCGCCTGCACGCCGAGAGCCCCTCGCCGCCGCGCCTGCTGGCCGCGCACTGCGCGCTGTTGCCTAAGCCCGGCTTCCTGGGCGCGGGCGGCGCGGGCGGAGGCGCGGGCGGCGGGCCCGGGGGCCCCCCCCACCACGCGCACCCGGGCGCCGCCGCCGCCGCCGCGGCCGCCGCGGCCGCCGCCGCCGCCGGGGGCCTGGCGCTGGGGCTGCACCCCGGGGGCGCGCAGGGAGGCGCGGGGCTCCCCGCGCAGGCGGCGCTCTACGGCCACCCGGTCTACGGCTACTCGGCGGCGGCGGCGGCGGCCGCGCTGGCCGGCCAGCACCCGGCGCTCTCCTACTCCTACCCGCAGGTGCAGGGCGCGCACCCTGCGCACCCCGCGGATCCCATCAAGCTGGGCGCCGGCACCTTCCAGCTGGACCAGTGGCTGCGTGCGTCCACCGCGGGCATGATCCTGCCCAAGATGCCCGACTTTAACTGTGAGTACCGCGCGGCCCCCGGGCCTGGGGAGGAAGGAAGGAAGAAATGGGGGAGGGGGAGTCCTGGCACACGGCTTTCCCGCGCCTCCGCCTCCCCCCGGCACCTCCTTCTCCTTGCTCTCTGCTCTGAGAGCACGGTGGGAGGGCCGAGAGGCCGCCTGGCCTCCGCCTGGGGCCCGCGAAGACTTGTGTGGACTGCACGCTGTGGCATTGGCAGCGAATTATTAAAATGGCCACGCGCGGGCCCTGCTTTCTCTTCCTCTCCTAACGGGAAGGGGCAGCTGGAGGTGTGAGACTAAAATCTAATCATTAACCGGCGGGCTGGAGGAGAAGGAAGTGGTGGGGGAAGGCGAGCCAAACAGCGTCCAAGTTAGGCTGGCTTGGGGATCGAGGCCACCTAAACCAGGGGCTTATCTCCAGGGAAACGAACTTAGGAAACGCATTACGGGCTCTGGAGAGACCCCCAGTCCCTCCCAGGAGGAGAGATTCAGGAGCAGAGAACAAGAAATGGGCTTCAAGAGGCCAGGGCCGCAAGGCCAGGTCCCTGGCTGTGCTCTGGCCATTTGCAGGGGTTCTGCCCGCCTCTGTAAGGGCGCTTGGTCCCCGGTGTGATGCCCAGCAGGCAGATGTCCTGACCTGAACAGAGCGGTGGCATGCCCCTGCAGAAGGGATGTGCCTCTTTCACGAACCCCATCATAGGGACTCTACGTAGCAGGTGCCGGCCCAGAATTGGAGGCACCCAACACAGAGTGAACCCCTCCCCAGGATAGGAGCAAGGGACGGCTGGCCACCCCCAGCCCGAGAGCTGCTGGGTTGTGGGCAGCATGCTTGCCATGCAGGTGGTACGCCTCCGGGAGGCCTGAGCCCACTGGACTTCCCTGGCCCGTTGGGCGGGCACACTGGGCTGGCACTCTGGGAGTCTGGATCTCCCCTCTGCTCGCCCCACCCGGGCTCCACACGGAGGGTGATGCGTGAGACTTTATGCTTTCAGCTGCAGAACACCCGAACAAAGAGACCCCATTGTTTCCTTCTGAGTGGAAGTGTTTAGACTGGGGAGATGCAGGCATAGGAGGGGAAAAAGCAAAAAGGAAAACAAAAATAAACACTTGGCAGAATTCAGATTCCTCTGCTAGAAGCCATGGTTGTGACTAAACAGAGAAAAGCTAGGGGCCTGAGAGCTGGAGAAGTCACAGCTGGGTGAGAAAATCTCAGCCTGCGGACTGTTTGCCCCTAGCCACCCCAGGCTTTCTCCAGCTCCCAGAAGACCCTAATGGCCACCCAGCCTGTCCAGGTGGAAGTCAGCCCCTTCTGATCCGCAGCAGGGAAAGCCTGGACTCACCTTTCAGTTTGGGGCCGCAGCTTCGGACATATCTGAACCTGCTGATCCCGGGTCAGCCAAACCCAAGGCACTCTTCCTGGACCTGGCTGTGAGCAGAGCCAACAATCCCCTTCTGATGGAAAGCCACCCATGGGTGTTCCTTATGATCTGCATGTCCCAGAGCCTGGGATGCTTAGTCTCCCACTGAGTGGGGTGGGGGTCTCCACACAGACCTCCCCTGGGCACTGGGTTCTGGGCTCCCTGCCCCCCCCTCCCTTCCCATGGTTTCCTGGGCCTGTGTGGAGCTCAAGGTCGCTCAGAAAATTGGTGAAAGTCACATCCCTTTTGCCCATCCCTGATTCCTAATCTTGACCTACAGGTAGCAGAATTAAACCCAGCCTGCTTTAAGTTTAGAAAAGGAATCTAAATACCAAATCCTGAAAGGGCGATAATAAACAGGCCAGGATGCCGGAATGTCTTCTGAGAGTCCCTCCTCTGTCGCTGGAACACCTGTTTGGTTTCCTCTAATTGGTTGTCTCTGCTGTTGGATGGCATTTCCCAAATGGTCCCTCTGGAGTCAGTGTTTTAATTAAAGTTCTAATGTATTGTCAAGTTGGGAATTGGGGCCTCATTTAACTAAAGCTGGGGGCGTGGGCCTTCCCGTAAAGCAAATTGCCCACCCGGGGGGCCTGCGCTCAGCCGCTGGGCTGCCCTCTTTTCTATCCTTTCGTTTATTGTCTAACACTCGTAAGGCTCCTGGGAAATCAAGGGAAGTCTCGTTTTTTGAGGCCATAAAATTCTCTGATGTAACCGTGTGAAATTATGTAAATACAGCCAAGGGACCTCCTTGAACGTTCAGAAAGCCGGATCCCCCCTTTGCCTGGCCTTCAGTTGGTGAAATGAGATCTGTCCTGGAAAGGCTTCCAGTCTCCCTGGGCTTTGCCCCTCCGCAACGGGGGCAGGAGCCTCAAGAAGAGTTTTCAGTGGGGAGTGTGATGAATTCACATGTTTGGGCCCAAGATGTGTTCCTTCTCCTTCTATCCTTCCTTCTCTCTTTGCCTTTGCCCTACTTTTACTCCTCCTTTTGTAGTTGAGGAGGTGGTGGTGGGAATCCTGCATTAGTTCCTTGCTGGCTGGGAGGAAATGGGACTGGTAATTCCGGAGACCTGTTTGGATTTGAGGCTGAGTTGCGGGGGTGGGTGCTGGGTGAGGAGTGGAGAGGAGCTATGCCTCTCTGGCCTCAGCATCCTGCCTGTCAAGTTCTTCTACACTGCCCCGCACCCCCCAGATGGACAGGGCTGCCCTAGGTGATAGGCTCTCTTTAATCAGAACACCCAGACCCTGAGTTAAAAAGAAAAAAAATATATTGAGTCGCATTAAACCCAAACCCGCATGGCTCCACCTGGTATCCAGGTCCTGGGCTCCAGGGCCTCCTCTGGTCACTGAGTCCCTTGGGGACAGGGTGCTCACATTGAAGGAAGAGCAGCCACTTGGCAGGGCTGGTGGGCCAGGTGGCGGCCTGGGGGCGGTGGCGCTGGGGGGCCGTGGGGGGGTCGGAGGACGGAGGACAGCGTCAGGCTGCAGGCCTCACGCCCCTCTCTGTCCCCAGCCCAGGCGCAGTCCAACCTCCTGGGGAAGTGCCGCCGGCCCCGCACGGCCTTCACCAGTCAGCAGCTCCTCGAGCTGGAGCACCAGTTCAAGCTCAACAAGTACCTGTCACGGCCCAAGCGCTTCGAGGTGGCCACGTCGCTAATGCTCACGGAGACCCAGGTACACCGCCCCCTCCCCCCACGCCACCTCAACACAAGCGGGCCTCCTAGGGGCCACTCTTGGCACCTGGAGCAGCGCCTCCTGACTTTAGGGGGACGGCTAATGTCCGAGGCAGAGTCCGTGTTTGCCCCGCTAGGGTTCATATACCAAGCCCAGCGGTCTGATTCAGTAGGCTGAGGTCAGACCCAGAAATCTGCTTTTTAAGGACACTTCCACCCACTCCCCCATTCTGAAGCCATGGTCCTCAGGCCACGTTTGAGAAACCTTATTCCAGAAAGAGGGGGAACATCTTGAGATTTACAGATATGGACCCTAGCTGCTCCGGCCCTTCCTGGACAGTGGGCGAGCACCCCTAGAAAAGGACAGGCATCCGGCAGTGGAGGTCCTAGTCTGAGCTTCCGTGGAATCCCCCAGCCCCACTCCTGGGGTTGCTGATGCCAAGGGGGTGGGGGGCTCCTTCCCGCCGGAGCCTCTGTGTCCCCTACTCTGAAGCCCGCTCCTGCGCAGCGTGAGGGAGGCCAGGACCCTGCGAGGTGCAGGAGGTGGGGGCCTCCAGAGAGACCAACGGTGGGGATGGAGGTGGCCGCTTTCTCACACCCTCTCGTGCTCTCAGGTGAAGATCTGGTTCCAGAACCGGCGGATGAAGTGGAAACGCAGCAAAAAGGCCAAGGAGCAGGCAGCGCAGGAGGCTGAGAAGCAGAAGGGTGGCGGGGGCGCGAGCAAAGGTGGCAACGCAGAGGACAAGGGAGAGGGGGAGCTGCTGGGGCCACCGGCGGCTGGGGACAAAGGCAGTGGACGCCACCTGCGGGACTTGAGGGACAGTGACCCCGAGGAGGACGAGGACGACGAGGATGAGGACCACTTCCCCTACAGCAACGGCGCCAGCACGCGCGCCGTGTCCTCCGACTGCTCCACCGAGGCCGACTCGCCGCCTCCCCGGCCTGGAGGCCCCGGGCACCAGCCCCAGGCCCAGTAGGGGCCCCGCGGGCCTGTGAGCCAGGCCGCCGACCCGGCGCTGCCCGTTGGGGACAGAGAGGGAGGCCCAGCAGGTTCAAGCTTGAACTCCCGTTCTTTTTAATTTAATTTCGGTTAGTGTTGGGGCCTAGTATTTGTGAGAAGAGCTAGCTGGCCGCTATCAGGGGGAGCCTCCCACTCCCCTCCTCCTGATGGAGAAGGCAGGAACCTACAGTGTTGGACCACCTGGAAAACTTGAAACCTTCTCCGGAATCGACATTCTGCTGAGTATTGAAAAAGGGAAAATGTTTTGTGCTTACCTATCTTAGGGGGAACTTTATGTCATGAGCATTCAAACCGCTGGAAATCTCAAAACTGTACTGTCTTTATTTTTGTATATTGTATTTATATATATATATATAAAGAAGCATCTACTTATGCATGCTAAATTATTATTTAGCTTCTCCCATCGCCCACGATGGAATGTAAAATAAATTGGTTTTTTACTGGATGAGAGTGCAGGTCTTTGGGGAGGGAGTTACGAAAGCGCACTGTACTATTTTTTGTTGTTGAAATGATGGGGGGGTGTATTCCTCAATTGACAGCGAAAGGTGCAAATGAGAATGGCAAACAGGTGTTAGGAACACCTCCTCTTCTGGGCTGTGACGTGGGCGGGGAACCTGATTCCCGCCGCTGGGGAGGCCTAGGTGCGAAATGTTCGTAAAAATACCTGAGACCAGGTGTCAGCGCGTGTCTAATGCGTGAATCTCAGGAGAGTGACTTTGGATTCCGAGTATTTATTTTTTCATTTCCTTGAGGATCTTGCTTCACTGGCGCTCGTGGAAACACACTGAATGTTTCAGAAAATACGCTTTGAGACGACGAGATGATTTTCTGGCGTCCGGGGTCGGGATTGCCTCGAGCAACCCCGGGCTTCTGCCCGGCCCTCTCTCCCGCAGGACCTTTCTAGCTGCGGCCGGAACCGTGTTCCTGGGATCTGTGCAAATGTCCGCGAGGACAGCAGCGTGGCTCGGGGTGAACCAACCTTGCCGCGGGCGCTGCCATGTGCTGCACACGAGCCCGGCTGCACCTGCGCGCCGGGTGCGCGCCGGCCGCTCCCCTCCCCGCCCCGCCCGCCGCGGTCCGGGGCCGCCCGTGGGCCCAGAGGAGCCAGGCGGCCGGGGCGCGCGGCCTCTCTCTTCCTCCCCCGCGCCCGCCTCCGTCCTTCTGTTTCTCCCTTTCTCTCCGCAGCCGCCGCGCGCCGGGTCCGCGCCCCCCTCCGCCTGCGCGCCCCCTCCCAGCTGATAAATGAGTTCAGAAGGGCCAGGCGTTTCATTTGGGTGATTACCGCGGGCCAGCGGGGCCACTCCCCTACCTCAGGGCCGGGGTGAGATTAATATCCTCTCTGGCAGCTCATTATCACCCCGGGCTCGTTCCATAAAATGCAACGTCAGCTGGGGCCGGGCGCGGCGCAGCCGGAGCCGGCGGGGGCAGCTGTGGGCAGGGCGCGGGGCCTCGGCCAGCTCGGGGTCCAAAGGTGCCCTGGGGGCCGGGGACTGGGTTTGCAGCTGTGGGATAGCCAGAGGGCCCCGAGAAAGCTGGTGGGAACAGCAGAGGGCGGCTGGGGAGGCAGAGAAGAGAAAGACAGATGCCTTTGGGGTTCAAAAAACCCAAACCCAAACCAAACCTTTGCAATCCGCGACTATGGCGCTTTAATTTCTAACACATCGGTGCAGTTTAGCCTGAAGCAATCTCTTCCCCGCCTGGCTTCAATCCAGGGTCGCCCCCTGCTCGGCCGGCTCGGTCCGCGCCCCCAGCTCAGCGCAGGGCAGCCGGGGCGGGTGGCGGGGCCTGCGAGTTGGGGTGCCTCCCCGCCGAGGGGCAAAAGCCCCAGCCGGTCGGGGCGGCCGGCTCGCCCCGGGCGCGGGGAAGCGGAGCACTGAAGGCAGACGTGCGTCCCGACCCCGCCGCAGCGCGCAGAGCAAGGCCGGCGTTGGCGCGGGGACTTGGCGGCGGGAAGGCCCGACCGCCCGCGGCCCCAGCGCCTGCAGCCAGCTGCCTAATCGCGGCGGAATTTATCTCGCTAATAAATTTAATGATCAATTCGTTCTTGTCACAGTAGCTCTTCCCCAAATCAATTATAGCAAATTTAAATATAATCACTGGCTCATCCTCACCCACTCCGGGCACGGCGAACAATTCATTCCGCCTAATGAAGGGCCGCCAGGCCCTGCTCCGCCCGCCTCGCGGGGCGCGCCCCCCACCCCGCTGACCGCGCGGGGGGGCGGTGTGAGAGGCTCTGCAGGCGCCCCCCACCCCCGACCCTGTTTCCACGACCTGGAGTCAGGTCCTCGCGGCCCGAGCCCAGGGGGACACAAGCCCACGCTCCGCAGGACTATCGCGCGGGCCTCCCGGCTTTCCACCAGAGCTAGGGTGCACCGTGCAGACCCTGCAGGCGCCGGGTCGCTGGAGCCCGGGGGCTGGGTCCCCAGCGAGGCCCCCAGCCAGCCTGGCCCGCTGACTGCCGAGGGCCGGATCCTGAGCCTGCTTCTCTTCACCCTAGTGGGAGATTCTCCTTCGTTCTCAGAAAAGAGGCACCTGCCCTGGCGAGTGTCTCCAGCATGTACAAACGGGTGTGGATAAAGCCCTTTTTGTGACAAAGAAACCAATCTGCAGGTATCTTCCAGGTGACAGCCCGCAGTCCTGGCAGAGCTGTGGCCCAGGGTCCCAGGCCTCTACAGAAGCTTTAATAGGCAGAGTCTGAGAAGTACAGAAACAACTAGAACCTAGAGGAAGTGGGTATGTTCCTTCTGAGGTGGGCCTTCCACAACCCAGCCCCAGAGGGAAGTCAGCTTGGCAAGATCAGTTTAAGTGACTTTCTATGACACCAAAAGCAAAAATAGACAAATGGGATTACATCAAACTTGAAAACTTTTGCACAGCAAACAGTCAACAGAATGAAAAGGCAACCCAGGACTGGGAGAAGATATTTGTAAATCATATATCTGATAAGGGGTTAATATGCCAAAATATAAAGAACTCATACAATTCAACAAGAAAAATAAGAATCCGATTTACAAAAAGGCAAAAGGCTTGAATAGAGATTTCTCTGAAGTGGACATACACATGGTCCACAAGCACATGAAAGGGTACTCAACATCACCCACCACCAGGGAAATGCAGATCAAAACCACAATGAGCTTCCACCTCACACCCATTACCATGACTATTACAAAAAAATGAAAACAGAGAATAACAAGTGTTGGCGAGGGTATGGAGAAATCGGACCCTTTGTGCACTGCTGGGAAGAATGTAAAATAGGGCAGCCACCGTGGAAAACAGGATGGAGTTTTCTCAAAAACAAACAAAACAAAAAACCCTAGAAACACCATAGGATGCAGCAGTCCTACTTCTAGTTGTATAGCCAAGAGAACGGAATTTAAATGGGATCTGGAAGAGGGATTTGCACACCCATGCTCGGGCAGCAGTGTTCACAGTAATCAGGAGGTGGAAGCAATGTAAGTGTCCACAGCTGAAGAGAGAAAGAAAATGGAATATATCACACCATGGAATATTATTCAGCCTTTGAGAAGAGGGAAATCCTGCTCCCCGCCACCACACGGATGGACCTGGAGCACGTTATGCTGCATGAAAGAAGCCAGTCACTAAAAATACAAATACTGCGTAACTGTCCTTACAAGTGGAATCTAAGTCAAACTTTTGGAAGGTGGGAGGGTGGTTGTCAGGGCCTGGGAGGAGGGGGAAGGAGTTTTTCAATGGATACGGAGTTTTAGTTTGGGGAGATGAAAAGATTCTAGAGACCTTTTGCCCAACCACAGTTAACAGTACTGTACTGACCCTCAAGACGGGCCTTCCCCCCTTCCGCTCCTCCCCGCCCCGTCCCTCCCTCCCTCCCTCCCTCCGAGATAGGACAGCCTTGCCGTGGAAAATCCAAATCCCCGGGAAGGCACGGGAGGGGAGCCCCGGACCAGAGCAGGAGGGCGTCTGGCGGGCGCGGCTGCGCTGTTGAGCGTCAGGCCCCGAGTCCGGGCGGGGAGCACCCCCAGGGCCTGCGGCTCAACGCAGCCCCGCGGCGTCCCCTGCGCTCCCCCCCCCCCCCGCCCAGGGTCCCGGGGTGGCCAGGCGGGGGCCGCGCTCCTGGGGTGGGTGGGGAGCGGCAGAGGGGGGACCCGCGGGGAGGGGCCGGTGCCGGGCGTGGGCGACGTGGGGCGTGCTCCCCGCAAACGTGCGCGGCCCCGTCTCGTATCAAAGTCCTGCGGCGCATTGTGTCTCCCTCAATAAAACGAATCCCTTGGGAGGTGTGACCTCCGCCAAGAGGGCTGCCCTGTTCCAGACCACAAGGGCAAGTATGCTTTTCAGATTTGGTTTTTATGGTCGGATTAAAGTTTATTTTCCGTAATAGGGCACCTAATAAAACTCACAAGGCCGGGTCGGGCCTCCAGCTGGTGGCCTCGTTTAACACTTTGACTTCGCAAATCATGCGCCAGGTGTGTCCCCAACTGGACGCCAACAAGAACCCCCCCCGCTGGGTCCAGGCCCGCCGTTCGAGCCCCCGTCCCCCCTCCGCCCCCCCCCGGCCCGCGCCCCTAGACCCACCACCCTCCCCCGCCCGCCCCCGGCCCCGCGCCGACCCCGCGCACCTGCCGCCCCCAGGTGTGCACAAGGTTCCGGACAATGTGCGGCTCCTCGGGGCCATTGTCCGCCCGCGCTCGGGCAGGACAAAGGGTGCCCCCGCCCCGGGCGGCCTCGGCCGGGGGGCGGCGGGCGCGGTTTACCCAGCTGGGGGGAGGAACAAAGGCCCGCCGCCTTATCTCGGCGGGGCGCGGGGTCAGGCCGGGGGCGCGGGGGGCGGGAGGGCCCGCGGCCGAGGCGGGGTCGCCGTGCCAGGTCCTGCGCGGGGGGTGGGGGTGGGTGGGGGCGGGGGTGGGGGGCCCTCCCGCCCTGCGCCCTGCGCCGGATGCGGTCACCCGCCGCCCCTGCTGCTCCTCCCTCCCGACCTCG